GGGGGGGAGTTGAGGGGAGAGGAGGGGCTGTTCAATTTTAGGGTCCAAAATCATTGGGAGTCTCCCTCAAAAATAGGAAGAATTGGCAAGTATGCATTCCTCCCTTCAATTTCTTAGTTTTTTCCTCAAAGACAACAATACAATTTAAAACTAAGGTTATTATAATCTTCTCTAGTACATGAATCAGAGCACCCCAATCCCTGGGTATTATATTTAATGTTGAGGGAGTCTTTCCACATACATGATGTACATAGTCGAACCCAGCTTCGGGTATCCCCCTTGCCAAACATACACCAAGTACTTGGTACGAGGGCTGGTCACAGGTGCCACTTTAATAAGTGGAACAGTATACCAGGACAATTGCCAGTGACTAGGTAGCCCAATTATAGTAAGAGTGTCCGCTTAGAGTTCGGCGGTCCCAGGTTCAAATCCCAGTCTGGCTGTGGATACTTCCTCTCCTGTTACAGTAGTGTTTGTCAACAATGCTTGTTTTGAGTACTGCGTGAACACTTCAGTGACTTGTCTTTTTCAACAAAAAATATAATAAAACGAGTGAAACATGGCCTAGCTGGCTTCTTGTTTAGAAAGGTTCCTGACATCTGTAGTTTCTAACGGTGTAATATGTACACTGGGATGTTTAATGTTTTTCAGCTCCTCATATCGGTCACCTGTATACTGCGCTGGTTGCTGATTCCCTGTCCAGATGGAAGAAGTTGAAAGGGTACGAGACATTCTTCGCCACCGGTACAGACGAACATGGATTGAAGGTCAGTATAACAAGGTGATCCTAGTGTTAGGACGAGGTTAATTACCAAATGATGGCTGGTTGGTTAGTGTATCTATCGCCAATTAGATATAGATAGGGTAACCAGTCCTTACAAGTTGGACAACCTTTCTCATAAAACACAACCTTTATCCTGTTATAAGTCCAGGAACCAGCATATTGCCTCTTTCTCTGAGTAAAACAAAGTGTATTACAGGACAATGAAACTTTGTTGTTATTTCTACAGAACTGCAATAGCTATAAGATGGGTGATTATCAGACGTGGGCTTATTCATTTCTTCATAATGCCTGTTGAATCAAGTATGTTCATATATATGTGGGAGAAACCCAATTTTTTACTTGCTCTTTTAACTAAATATAATAATTATCAACATTCACTCTAGATCCAAGTTTTGGGCGTATAATTATATCCCTCCTTCAGACCTTTATGTCATATCCATATTTAAAAACAGGAAGTGCACACTTTATGTATTTGATTCCTTTTTATTCAACTTAACCCTTTCACCCCTATGTAACTTGTGTAGACTCTACCATACATTGATCTGGGTGAGTCCATTATGGTCTACAGTGGTGAAAGGGTTCAAGCTGCTGGTCAAATATCAGATGTTTTTATTACTTGCTGCCTTGCGTGTAAGGCCTATAGGCATTTTGCAGTATCTGTCTTCAAGTTTTTCCTTTTAAAAGATGTTCATACATGTATGTCTCTGAATTGAAATTTACCATGTTCATCTAACTCGGGTTCATTTTAAAATTTTGAAAAGAAAACTACTGTTCAATAACATGGTAAACAATGGGTCCTGGAATTGTTTCTGCCACCGTTGTTTTTGACATTGTGGAGTAACATACATCATTGATTTAAAAATGATGGTTCAGACAGCAGAGGAATTTATATTCATGTAAAATACTAAATCTGCTCACAAACGTGTTTTCAGCTTGCTACCCCAAACTTTACTTTGGGAAATTTTCAAGGTCAAAGCTAGGGTACCTGTTTTCAAGCTGCCATTTGCAACTGCCATTTTCCATTACATTGTAATTCAGACAGGGAGTGGATAAAAAACTTAAGTATTTTGCAACTACATGTACATGTACTATATTTTGTTTTTCTTTTTGCCTTTTCAGATTCAACAAGCAGCCGGAAAGGCTGACATTGCTCCCAAAGTTTTCTGTGATGAAGTCTCAAGCAAGTTTAAGGTGAAACCGTAACTCCATAACTAATCATGTAGACTGACTTCAGTGCTGTGTATATAAAACAAGTATAATTTACCATGAATGATTTAAAAATACAAAAATCATTCGTCCAGTTTACTGACTATCTTAAGAGTTGACCAATAGAATCTTCCCCTACCTTGAGGGTGTGACAGAGAAATCTCCAACCCGAGGGGTGATGTTTTTTGATTGTCTAACCCAAGGTTCTGCCGAGGGTTAGACAACCAAAATTAATAAATTAATCACCCCGAAAGCCAAATGAAGGTTAATTGTGGTTATTGTGGTCTTCATTAGGATATTTGTAAAACCTTATAAGGTATATTTGATCTGTAAAATATGAGAAAAAATGTTGGATGAGTTTTTGTCTCAGTAGCGGAAGCGAGATTAAGGTGTTGCTTTTCTGGTGATAGCGGCAGTGCCAACATTAAGTTTTTGCGTTTAAGTTAGTTTCACTGAAAGTATAAGTGCTAGACCAATCAAACTTGGACCACACATGCATCTTAAGTAATACATTAATTGCGGCCTACCTTTCATGGTCCATTGACTTGGTCAGATCATCTCCATCAACATTAAGTGTTTGTGTTAAAAGTAAGTTTCATTTCAAATGTTGTCTACATTGAATTTATTTAACCGATATGTGCATTGATGGTCATAGTGAGGCACTGGCAAGACATATCGACATTGCTATACAAACTTACTTGAAACAAAATTAAGTTTGTTGCTTCATTTGTATGTTGCCTTTTAAGCTCCAATACATGTAGGTATAGGTGACAATTCAAACAGTAATTGATTAATGATTAATATTTGTAGAAACATGGTGCAACAATCGCAAGCTTAGCTTATGTTTTTATGACTCAGTAAGCTGTTTAAATGATTGATACTGAGTCTGATGCTGTTTTTTCAGAGACCTGCTGTTTTAATATCAAGTGTGATGCTATTTTTTCTAGGACCTGTTTGAGAAGAACGATATAAAGTACGACACGTTTATTCGTACTACAGATGATGCTCATATAAAGGCTGTCCATCAGTTATGGGTAAATGGTATTGCTGTTCTTGCATAAATTAATGACTTGATAAATACCAGATGCCATACTTTTGGTTTATTTTTGTACTGTATTTTAAGATTTGCAACAGTTTATTGTGATAAATTGCTGTTGCAAATTGAGTTTTACTGGCAATTCATATATGTATGGTATCTTAATTGGTGGTACGTGTACTTCCTTCATTTAACAATATTTCAATTTCTTACTCAAGTTGGACTCAATGCAACTACTAAATGTTACCTGGTTCATTTGCTCATGAAATTGACCAGATTAATATTGCTTGTCCATACGAATATACCTCCATTTTTTTTCAGTTAAAACTTATGAATTCATCAACAAAAATAAAAACGCTGAACTAGCTGAAACGTTCTTCTCCTTTTAGAATATTAATATGGTGGTTTAGATTTTAGAATTGGTTCATCAATCCCTAAGCTAGTCTACATGTTTCCCTCTTTTTAGAATGTGCTGAATGAGAAAGGATTTATCTACAAATCTTTATACAAGGGCTGGTACTGTGTTTCTGATGAAACTTTCGTTTCTGAAAACGATACTACAGATGTTACGACGAAATCAGGAGAATCACAAAAGGTAACGAAATAGACAAGATAAGGATACCTAATTGTCCTCGTACAGTGTATACACAGTAAATAGACTAGATAAGGATACCTAATTGTCCTTGTACAGTGTATACACAGTAAATAGACGAGATAAGGATACCTAATTGTCCTAGTACAATGTATACACAGTAAATAGACTAGATAAGGTTACCTAATTGTCCTCGTATAGTGTATACACAGTAAATAGACAAGATAAAGAAACCTAATTGTCCTTGTACAGTGTAGACACAGTAAATAGAGTAGATAAGGTTACCTAATTGTCCTCATACAGTGTATACACAGTAAATAGACTAGATAAGGATACCTAATTGTCCTTGTACAGTGTATACACAGTAAATAGACGAGATAAGGATACCTAATTGTCCTCGTACAGTGTATACAGTAAATAGACTTACGACGAAATCAGGAGAATCACAAAAGGTAAAGAAATAGACAAGATAAGGATACCTAATTGTCCTCGTACAGTGTATCCCCCGTAAATAGACTAGATAAGGTTACCTAATTGTCCTCGTACAGTGTATACACAGTAAATAGACCAGATAAGGTTACCTAATTGTCCTCATACAGTGGATACACGATAAATAGACTAGATAAGGATACCTAATTGTCCTTGTACAGTGTATACACAGTAAATAGACAAGATAAGGATACCTAATTGTCCCCATACAGTGTATACACAGTAAATAGACTAGATAAGGACACCTAATTGTCCTCGTACAGTGTATACACAGTAAATAGACAAGATAAGGATACCTAATTGTCGTTGTACAGTGTATACACAGTAAATAGACGAGATAAGGATACCTAATTGTCCTCGTACAGTGTATCCCCCGTAAATAGACTAGATAAGGTTACCTAATTGTCCTCGTATAGTGTATACACAGTAAATAGACAAGATAAAGATACCTAATTGTCCTTGTACAGTGTAGACACAGTAAATAGACTAGATAAGGTTACCTAATTGTCCTCATACAGTGTAGACACAGTAAATAGACCTGATAAGGATACCCTATTGTCCTCGTACAGTGTATACACAGTAAATAGACTAGATAAGGATACCTAATTGTCCTCGTACAGTGTATACACAGTAAATAGACTAGATAAGGATACCTAATTGTCCTCGTACAGTGTATACACAGTAAATAGACTAGATAAGGATACCTAATTGTCCTCGTACAGTGTATACACAGTACATAGACTAGATAAGGATACCTAATTGTCCTCGTACAGTGTATATACACAGTAAATAGACTAGATAAGGATACCTTATTGTCCTCGTACAGTGTATACACAGTAAATAGACTAGATCAGGATACCTAATTGTCCCCGTACAGTGTATACACAGTACATAGACTAGATAAGGTTACCTAATTGTCCTCGTACAGTGTATACACAGTAAATAGACTAGATAAGGATACCTAATTGTCCTCGTACAGTGTATACACAGTAAATAGACTAGATAAGGATACCTAATTGTCCTCGTACAGTGTATACACAGTAAATAGACTAGATAAGGATACCTAATTGTCCTCGTACAGTGTATACACAGTAAATAGACTAGATAAGGATACCTAATTGTCCTCGTACAGTGTATACACAGTAAATAGACTAGATAAGGATACCTAATTGTCCTCGTACAGTGTATACACAGTAAATAGACTAGATAAGGATACCTAATTGTCCTCGTACAGTGTATACACAGTAAATAGACTAGATAAGGATACCTAATTGTCCTCGTACAGTGTATACACAGTAAATAGACTAGATAAGGATACCTAATTGTCCTCGTACAGTGTATACACAGTAAATAGACTAGATAAGGATACCTAATTGTCCTCGTACAGTGTATACACAGTAAATAGACTAGATAAGGATACCTAATTGTCCTCGTACAGTGTATACACAGTAAATAGACTAGATAAGGATACCTAATTGTCCTCGTACAGTGTATACACAGTAAATAGACTAGATAAGGATACCTAATTGTCCTCGTACAGTGTATACACAGTAAATAGACTAGATAAGGATACCTAATTGTCCTCGTACAGTGTATACACAGTAAATAGACTAGATAAGGATACCTAATTGTCCTCGTACAGTGTATACACAGTAAATAGACTAGATAAGGATACCTAATTGTCCTCGTACAGTGTATACACAGTAAATAGACTAGATAAGGATACCTAATTGTCCTCGTACAGTGTATACACAGTAAATAGACTAGATAAGGATACCTAATTGTCCTCGTACAGTGTATACACAGTAAATAGACTAGATAAGGATACCTAATTGTCCTCGTACAGTGTATACACAGTAAATAGACTAGATAAGGATACCTAATTGTCCTCGTACAGTGTATACACAGTAAATAGACTAGATAAGGATACCTAATTGTCCTCGTACAGTGTATACACAGTAAATAGACTAGATAAGGATACCTAATTGTCCTCGTACAGTGTATACACAGTAAATAGACTAGATAAGGATACCTAATTGTCCTCGTACAGTGTATACACAGTAAATAGACTAGATAAGGATACCTAATTGTCCTCGTACAGTGTATACACAGTAAATAGACTAGATAAGGATACCTAATTGTCCTCGTACAGTGTATACACAGTAAATAGACTAGATAAGGATACCTAATTGTCCTCTTACAGTGTATACACAGTAAATAGACCAGATAAGGATACCTAATTGTCCTCGTACAGTGTAGACACAGTAAATAGACTAGATACGGATACCCTATTGTCATTGTACAGTGTATATGCAGTAAAACCTTGTTATACTGCCTTTTTCAGCAGAATATTGGCATTATGAAGAGATTAAGCACTTTATTATTATTATGAAGAAAGGAAAATGGATATTGAAATATGTTGGCACAAAGGGAAACGGCAAATAAAAGGAGGGACTTTAAAACTATATTGAATTAGGTGTTAACAATTATTCTCCAAAACTATGAACCTAATCACTGTTTGATGTAACCATTGAGTAAAAAGATACTTGTTAAATCATTAGATAGCCACTGTATCTGTGTTGTCGACACTATGTGTGTGGTATTGTGTGTGACAGGTGTCTGTGGAGAGTGGTCATCCCGTTATATGGAGTGAAGAAGAAAACTACATGTTTACATTGTCACGCTTCAAGCCTCAACTACAGCAGTGGATAGACACAGGAGGTACAGCATACTTTCCTAAAAACTGTTGCCTCTGTAGGAACTGTAGACCAAATAATATACCATATATGATTGTGTTAGCTTTCAGATATGTTGATTCTAAAAAGAAACAAAAAGAAGCAAACAAATTGAAATTAAATTCCAAGCATGTGGTATCCTCATATTGGCATCATAAAGACATTTGGTGCTATGATGAGGATATTCAATTGCCCTTTGCATCAGTATATATAAAGATGGTGGCTACGAACACTCCATTCAGCTTGTCACATGGTAAAGGTCTAAATCATTGTAAGTTTTGAGTCAAGATTATTAGGTTGTAGTGATTTTGTATATAAGACACTGGTTTTGGTTCAAACAAAGATTGCCAGAAAAAGAAAAAAAAAAGAGGAAAATGTATATATATATATATATAAATGTTTTAATTTTGGTACCAACTTGACTTTATTTATTCAGAAATATTGTACTACCCGATTTTCTTTAACTCATTCACCCCTGAAGACACATTTTAATTCCTCCAATTCAAAGATTAGAATAGTTAATTATGAAATTTAAGGGGTGAATGAGTAAAACTTTTTTTATGTTCCACTTTTACACTAGGAAACATTCTCATTTGTAGTGATTCAGCCTCCGGAGTTCAAAAGAATTGTACAGGGACATTTAGATGACTTATCTGATTTGTCTGTAACTCGGAGCAGTGACCGCGTGTCATGGGGTATCTCTGTACCAGGTGACCCCAGTCAAAAGGTGAATGACTGCCCAGTCAAAACATAGCACAGCCCTAATGTATGTGATAATGGCACAGATAGTGTATACGTGGTTACAATCAAAGTATGAACATATTGTAAATAAAATTGTGTACTGGGTTTTAGTTTTTACCATTTTCACAGTAACAGATTTGCTGCAAAAAATAATCCTTAATTAATTGTAAATTTACCTTTCCTTATTTTGCCACTTTGTGCAATAGTCAAAAACCCTGAAATCTTTTTTTTTTATGTGAAAATGACTATTTTAGCAAATCTGGAAATTTCAGACCACAAAAATGAAAAACTTTCACTGAAAGTCAATGCTGTTCCTTTAAAGAATTTAAATCCTTTCCATTTATTTTTGAGTAGCTGAAGAACAGTTTTTCAATGAAGTTCTTAATTTTTTTCTGTTGCTCATCAGTTGTCTTACCGTCCACATGTATGTGACTGGGCTAGTTCTGTTACAGATATATGTGTGGCTAGATGCTCTGACCAATTACCTCACTGTTACCGGTTACCCTGGCGATGAGTATCGGAGTCTTTGGCCCGCAGACTGTCACGTGGTAGGCAAAGATATTCTAAAGTAAGTAAACATTTTATACATCTATATTGAAGTTAGGGAGAGGACAGTGTACTGGAATCTTGTTTCTGTCTGTTTCACTTTGCAGGGAGGGAATTAGAGAAAAAAAGGTTACTGGTCCGAAGGTCAAATTGAAATGAAAATTCACTGGTCCTGTTTGAAGTGCACTGGTCCAGAAAAAGGGGGCCAGAGGCCCAAACGAGCACCAAAGTTTCAAAACAACTTTTGAAATCTAGAAGCTCTAGGAGCATTCTGGGCTTAAAATAAAGCCTTTCACTGGCCACAGAAGACCAGCAGTTAACTCCACCCCTTGTTTGTCCATCCATCTGCCTTATGATATAGCTAAGGCCTCCGCAGAGGACTGTCACATAAATAAAACTAGGAAGATATTGATATCTAAATTTTTGCTCACCTGACCTAAAGGGCCTAAAGAGCTTATGCTCTGGTGTATTGTCCGTCGTCCATCTGACTTTTAAAAAACCTCATCTAAATAAACAAAAGGTCTAGGGTGGGGATATTTGAAATATTGCATGTTTGGACGAAGAGCTATCAAGTTTGTTCAACTTAATATCCTTGTTTGAATTTTAAGGTCACAGGGATCAAATGAGTTTAGATCTTTTAACAGGTTCTTTTGAATGACTTATAGACATAGAAATTGATATTTTTTCCTTAGCTTTGTTTTAGTTCAATTTTAAGGTAACGCGTGTAAGGGTTATACCAGGTGAGTGATGCAGAACCATTGGGCCTCTTGTTAAATGTTTAACGGGACCAGCAAAATGCCAATTATGTTGTTGTAAGTGAATCAAACATGCATATTATGTTTTTTGGGGAATTCAAAAAGAACACCTCAAATATTGTTTCAGGAGACTTATTTTACGAAGATCATTGCAACTACAGTACATGTACCTCCTCGAACAGATTTCTAGTTTTGCAGCAATAATCATATAAAGGTTTAACTCATTTACCCCTACCTTTTTATACTGGACTTGCTCGGTCATTGATTTGGTAAGGTTCAAATGTGACTTCAGGGGTGAGTTTTAGAAGCACCCTAAAATGTCCAAATGATATTATCCTTACCATTATTGTCTCCAGTAAAAGTGTTTGTTTGTTAACAGGTTCCATGCAGTGTATTGGCCAGCCTTTCTGCTAGCAGCAGGCCTGTCTCTGCCAAAGAAAATACTGTGTCACTCCCATTGGAAAGTGGACGGGGTTAAGGTGAGTATTGTGTGATGTAATGACTTAAGTAACAATAATAGAGAGGATGGTTATAACAGGGTTTGTGATGATTGGTTATATTATGATGTGTCTGTTGGATTGAATCATTTCTCAAATATAATAAATAAATATGTTATGTTAGTAGGTTGTTATCATATTTAATATTAAGTTTTCCCACAACACCTTTGAAGCAAGTCTTCAGATCGTGCAGTATCTGTTGTAGGTTTTCTGTTTAAAGACAACTTATACAAAATGACTGCAAGGTGTTTTGGCTAGAGTGGGTCTTTTGCAATTGTTAAGTTTTTGAATTCAAGATGGATGCATAGCCCTCTGATATTTATGGTTACAACCAAACTGTTCTGACTGTATCCATATTCTGTGGGAGTGATCAATTTTTGGAGGAAAACAAATGCAGAAACTATTTAGGGGAAAGGTCCTATAATGCTATATATATAAGTCCCCAAATTGATCTTAATAACTGTTTTGTGAAGTTTCCAGGGTCAATAATGTAATCAAAGTTGAATGCTCCTCTCATAGTCCTGAACACTCTCAGGTGTTTTCAGAAACCAAAAATGTCTTGATCAGAAGGCTTTTGCCATTATAAATCAACCAGAATTTTTGGTTGATTTATAATGGCAAAAGCCTTCTGATCAAGACATTTTTGGTGAATTATGAAGTTTCGCTTGGATGATATTAACGAAACAAACATTTGTTTTATTGCCTGCTCTGGTGTCATTATTATCAAAGTTATCCATGACAGCCAGCGACAAAGTTATCCATGACAGCCAGTGACAAAGTTATCCATGGCAGCCGGCGACAAAGTTATCCATGACAGCCAGCGACAAAGTTATCCATGACAGCTGGCGACAAAGTTATCCATGACAGCCTGCGACAAAGTGATCCATGGCAGCCAGCGACAAAGTTATCCATGACAGCCAGCGACAAAGTTATCAGTGTTTTTTTTTGTTTATCAGATAAAAAACACAGAGCAGCTGAGCAATACAGGACACATGATATGGCCTGTGATATGGTACTGTGTTATGCTGTACAGATTTATTTTTATCTTCAGATGTCAAAGAGCCTGGGTAACGTTGTGGACCCACTTGATTGTATGCCCAAATACACAGTTGATGGTCTGCGCTACTTCCTATTGAGGCAGGCCACTCCTCAGAGTGACGCTGGTAAATACTCTTTTGTCTTTACAACTTAAATTTCATGAACAAAAAAACCCACCTCTTTATCCGTCCATTTATCGGTAGAAAATGAAAATTCAAAATTATTTTTACTTGGTTTGTTCTGAACGCAGGCGTATCCATATTATGTATGTATGTAAGCAGTGTTTGTCTCTGGCCTGTGGTTGATCAGGGCCTCTAATTAACTTGAGCAGTAGGCCCCTCACGACAGCAATGCCAAACTGGGCAATACCAAACTTCAGCTGACTTGAAGGATGACTGCATCTTGTGGTTGTCCTGTTCAGTCAATAAAATCTACCTCAGTCTTAATTTACTTCAGACATTAGGCAGAGTAGCAATAAAATTCCCCAGTTCTGCTCTTTCCTTTCACCGTCGAGTATTATCTAACAACTCGCCACCTCTTACACCACAACCATGGAAACTCATGAAAACTAGCTAACTGTTGGTGCAAATTGTGAGGTAATGTACAACTTTCTAAACAATGAAGCCTAAAATGTGGCAATAAGAAATTGTGAAACATTTAGTCAAATACCTCTCTGTCGAATTGTGAGTGTGTTCACTATCATATAATATCATCATATAAAGATGACGCACATTCTGATAAAATTGGCTGATTTTAGATAGGTTCAGGACAAGTGTTATTACGTCCCTGTTTTAGAAACACTGTTCAGTAAGATCAATTTGTCAAAGACTTATAAATATTTGCGAGAAATTAGTGTTTGTCATAGGATTTCAAATTTTAAATGCAAGCTTATTATAGTATGCATATGTATACAGATTGCAGCCTTTAATGTTAGGTTTCCCGATGTGATTTTACTGTTACTGGGACATTAAGTAATTATCTATCTCACTATTACATACAAATACTAGGGGAGTAAACTGGGACATTAAGTAATGATCTATCTCACTATTACATACAAATACTAGGGGAGTAAACTGGGACATTAAGTAATTATCTATCTCACTATTACATACAAATACTAGGGGAGTAAACTGGGACATTAAGTAATGATCTATCTCACTATTACATACAAATACTAGGGGAGTAAACTGGGACATTAAGTAATGATCTATCTCACTATTACATACAAATACTAGGGGAGTAAACTGGGACATTAAGTAATGATCTATCTCACTATTACATACAAATACTAGGGGAGTAAACTGGGACATTAAGTAATGATCTATCTCACTATTACATACAAATACTAGGGGAGTAAATCTAACTAAGGATCTCCGTGTCAAAACTGTAAACTGTTGGAAACGCAGTTTTCTGGCATGACTACAAGCTTTGATAAAATAATTTCTGAAAAAATACCATTCATTGCAGAACTTTTTACAAGATATAGTAAAGATGAAATAAGCAAAACCTTTAATCAGTAACAGTGTTCTGAGTGTAAAAATACCCGGGGATTGGAACTCTGGACTTAAGATTGGTGTACTATTGCCCTAACTGATTGAGCTACCTGGATAACAGAGTTTTCGTGGCCATACTGTGCTAGCCAAACAGAAATTAAGGGGAGGTAACTTATACAGAAAAACCGACAGTGTAGTGGGATAGGGATCCTTCAGGGAAAATTCAAATATCTTATCAAAATATTACCTAGCTTAGTGATAGAGTTTTGCTAGTTAAATTATTTTCATCTGTTGATTGTGTTTAAAAAAATATTATATAAATACTGAAATTTTTAAAATCTTGTTACTAAAAACTAAATGGAAACAAGAAAATTCCAACTGTGACATGCTTGTATTTCTATTATTAATGTTATGGATTGGCTACCATTTCAGCCTCTCTGTTGTAGAAGAATTTAATGACACTCTAAATGACAGTATTACAGAATAGTGTCAACCAAATCAGAATTTTTTGTCTTCAAAAAATATATTTTGACAGTAATTCCATTTTAAATGTTATTGTGTTTTAATTTCTCAAATGTTATATAAACAAAAATATGTATGATATCTTGTGTCGTCTCCTCAGATTTTAGTGAGACGAGGATTGTAGAAGTTATAAATAGTGAACTGGTGAATACCATTGGGAATGCACTGAGCCGGATTTCTGGTAAAGCAGTCAATCCTTTACAAGTGTTCCCCAACCCATCAGCTGAGGCCCTGCGTACAAAGTTCACAACCGAGGACCGTCAACGACTGGACCAGCTCTATGGACTAGCAGGTCAGGTTTAGTCGATGATGTCACGACTGTAATTCATAAAATATTAATTGTATGTAGGAAAGCATTGTGCTTTTAATTATGGAATTTGACTGAAACAGGGCAAATTATTTTGGTATTTAGGAATTGAAAATAAGGTATTTCATGAAAAAGGAGAACATTTATTTACACCATAAAGCTTTTTTTATTCCAGATATCATTCCTCATTGTTGATAGACCAGAAAAAGGGCAATCTTGAAAAACCATTGTACTTATTGTCCGTTTTCAAAATTTAGTGCTTATATATGAATATCAATCTTTAATTAAAAAACTGAAATAAAAATACTATATCAATTTTATTCAAGTCTAAAAGGTAGCAGCAGAAACAGTTTAAAAAGGTTGAACAATATTCTGGGAATATAAACCCCTTCTCTGTTGTAGTTGTGTGTGTTGTATTTTTAGACTGACTTGGTTTGTAGTTGTGTATATTGTATTTTTAGACTGACTTGGTTTGTATTTGTGTATGTTGTATTTTTAGACTGACTTGGTTTATAGTTGATGTTGTATTTTTAGACTGACTTGGTTTATAGTTGTGTATGTTGTATTTTAAGACTGACTTGGTTTATAGTTGGGTATGTTGTATTTTTAGACTGACTTTGTTTATAGTTGTGTATGTTGTATTTTAAGACGGACTTGGTTTATAGTTGTGTATGTTGTCTTTTTAGACTGACTTGGTTTGTAGTTGTGTATATTGTATTTTTAGACTGACTTGGTTTGTAGTTGTGTATATTTTATTTTTAGACTGACTTGGTTTGTAGTTGTGTATATTTTATTTTTAGACTGACTTGGTTTGTATTTGTGTATGGTGGATTTTTAGACTGACTTGGTTTATAGTTGAGTGTGTTGTATTGTTAGACTGACTTGGTTTACAGTTGTGTATGTTGTATTTTTAGACTGACTTGGTTTATAGTTGTGTGTGTTGTATTGTTAGACTGACTTGGTTTATAGTTGTGTATGTTGTATTTTTAGACTGACTGATCACCTAACTACATTGCGAAAGTTAAAATGGTTATATGTTTTTTTTTTAATATATTTTCTGTCAAAAATAATAAATATTGGATAATGATTTATTTTCTATCTTCAATTTACAGATGAAGTGGATAGATTCTATGAAGATGGAAATGTGTACTTGGTATTACAGACAGTGATGGACTATATGTTCTGGGCAAACAAACTGATCCAAGACCATGAGCCCTGGGTCCTAGTGAAAACGGAGAGTGAAAAGGAACATTTAGACACACTTATTTATATTGCTATGGAGACACTGCGAGTTTGTGGCATTCTAGTCCAGCCAGTGGTCCCTGATTTCTCCTCCAGACTTCTCACTAGATTAGGGGTACCAGACTCTGAAAGGGACATAGTTCATTCTAAGGTCAAAGTTCAACCAGCATCATCCGGATATGTACAGATACTGAATCCAACGGAATCTGTATTGTTTAAAAGATTAAAATAGCAGAGACCAGCATCTGTTTGTGTGGAACGCAAATTAAATTGTCAAGAGCTTTATAAAATGTTGTCATATGAAAAAATAAATTATTTGAAGTGATGAAAGCGCAATCCAAGTTGGCTATTTTATTACTGTAACAACACAGTCACATTATATGGTTAGGTATTTAAGTATGATATCTTCCTTTATGATGTCACCAGGAATAATGCAATGACATGACTTTGTAGCAGAGGCCATTTTTTTGTTTTAAATCGTCGAAAGGATCCCTGTTCTGCTGCACATGCACTGCGGCTGCTTATGATGTGGTGTGACGTCTGCCTTCAACTTTTTACTGAAAATTCTTCTGAATAACCAAGAGGGGATAATATTTGGCCTCAGCCTTCATTCAAGGTCACAGAGGTCAAATATGTTTTAACTTTTTTAAACGACTTCTTTTAAATTGTTTAAATTACTTGGTAGCCCTTCATCCCAGCATGTTACTGGCCAACTATCATCACCCTAGGCCTCTTGGTTATTCAGAAGAAGTTGTTTAAAGGTTTTAAACATATTTGACCCCTGTGACCTTGAATATAAGTCAAGTTCATTCATTTAAACAAATTTAATAGCCCTTCATCCCAGCATGTTACTGGCCAAATATCATCACCCTAGGCCTCTCGGTTATTCAGAAGAAGTTGTTTAAAGGTTTTAAACTTCTTTGACCCCTATGACCTTGAATATAAGTCAAGGTAATTTATTTGAACAATCTGGGTAGCCCTTCATTTCAGCATGTTACTGGCCAAATATTATCACCCTAGGCCTCTCTGTTATTCAGAAGAAGTTGTTTAAAGATTTACTTATTTGACCCCTGTGACCTTGAAAATTGATGCAGGTCATTTATTTGAACAAACTTGGTAGCCCTTCATCCCAGCATGCTTCTGGCCAAATATCATCACCCTAGGCCTTTTGGTTACTGAGAAGAAGTTGTTTAAAGTAAAAAGTTGACGATGGACGCTGCACCATGCCATAAGCTGATCACTTGGCCCTTCTGGCCAGTTGAGCTACAAAAGAGCGGAATCAGAAGCATAATAAATTTCTTTTTATAATTTTTTTTTTTATTTTTTTTTTTACATTACATAAAGATCCACACACACATTCTCTTTCACACACAAAATACTGTATATGGATGTGTACATGCATCATCATCATCATCCTTGCATCAATACACCTTGCCCATAAACAATTGGCATCCTCATTGTCATCATTATGAAAATATGATTACCAATGCCTCAATACATATCTCGCACAATAAACATCATCATCATCATCATCATTGCCTCAATATGCTTCACATAATAAACAATTATCATTATCATTGCAATAATACCTCTCACACATTAACAATAATCAACTGTCATCATTATGAAATTATAATTACCAATGTCTCAATACAAATCTCACACAATAGACATCATCATCACCAGTACATCAATACATTTCAAACAATAGACAATCATCATCATTACCAGTAAATCAATATGTTTCAAACAATAGGCAATCATCATCATTACCAGTACATCAATATGTTTCAAACAATAGACAATCATCATCATTCCCAGTACATCAATATGTTTCAAACAATAAACAATCATCATCATTACCAGTACATCAATATGTTTCAAACAATAGACAATCGTCTTCCTCATCATCTTCTTCAACAAGTAACCACTCATTCATACTGGTATGTAATTATGAATATATAATTACCTCAATTTCGTTTCAAGATTAAACACATCCATTATGGCAATATTTGTCACTCATATTAAAAGAGAAAACACACACACACACATACTCGTGCGACAAACATGCAGAGATACATACATGTACACTTACATAGCGAGGTACGTGTTTTCCATTACTTGAATTAACCACTCTGTCACATGGCATGGAAGGCTATGCTTTGTGGTTGGTAACAAGAGGCCCAGAGGGCCTGTATCGCTCACCTGAATATGTTCAAAATAATGAAGTAGGTGCTGTAAGTACATATGAAATTTCAGAAAGATCCATCCAGTACTTGAGATATAGCAAGAACAAACTTCAAACAGAGCCCCACCCCTATGCAACCTAGGGGGCTCATACCCACCAATTATACAAAATTGAGTCCCCTTGACCCAAGAATGCTCCAGACTAAATAAGGATATAATCGTGATGGTCAAAAAAGGGTTTTAAAGGTTTTACCTCTATTTCTCCTATTGGGCCCCGCCCTTCTGCCCCTTGGGAGACCACACCCACTGCTTATACAAAATTGAGTCCCTTTTGCCTAAGGATGCTCCAGACTAAATTAGGATAATATCCCTTAATCCCTATGGTAGAAGAAGGATTATAAAGGTTTTACCTATATTTCCCCTATTGGGCCCCGCCTCTCAGGCCCCTGGGGGGCCAAACCCACGGTTTATACAAAATTGGTTCCCCTTCACCCAAGGATGCTTCAGAACAAATATGGAACAAATCCTTTTATTCCTATAGAAGAAGGATTTTATAGAATTTGCAATGTTTCCCCTATACGTCCCCGCCCCTCAGGCCCCTGGGGGGCCACACCCACCGTTTATACAAAATTGGTTCCCCCTTTACCCAAAAATGCTCCACACCAAATATGGACCAAATCCTTTCATTCCTACAGAAGAAGAAGGATTTTAAAGAATAATTTGCTATGTGTCCCCTATTGGGTCCCTACCTTCAGGCCCCGGGGGGCCAGACCCATGGTTTATACAAAATTGGTTCCCCTTTATCCAAGGATGCTTCAGACCAAATATGGAACAAATCCTTTCATACCTACAGAAAAGGAAGGATTTTAAAGAACTTGCTTATTACCCCTATTGGGCCCCGCCCCTCAGTCCCCAGGGGGGCCAGACCCACCATTTATACAAAATCAAAATTTGTTCCCCTTCCCCCAAGGATGCTTCTGACCAAATTTGGTTAAAATCTGCTCAGTCGTTCATGACTAGTAACGTTTTATAGGAAAAGTTGACGGACGGACCACGGACGCTGCGGTATGGCATAAGCTCGACATGGTCCTTCGGACCAGGTGAGCTAAAAAAAATGGACAAACAAGAATTTGATCCTAAGGTCATAAACATTACAATTTCTTGATCCACTTGAATCAACATCTATTTTCAGGTAGAAAAAATGCAATAAAAAGTGATATAGGTATATAGATAAAAGTGTGACCCCAACATTTTTCAATGAAATTCCTTATCATAAGGTACATGTAGTAAAATGCGATATTGTTTCTAGTTTTGATCCCATGCTTGGCCATACAGCTATTGAAAATAAATAAATGTGATATTCTGTATCTGATTCATTTGCAATACTAAATTAGTAGCAATTGAAGAGAAACAGAATTTTCTGCACAAAAAAGTGAGGGAAAAAAGATCATTTCGCCTTATAAGACAGCAAAACTTTACAATTAGTAACATTTCGTTAATTATTTTTACCAACATTTTCTCACCCTCGTTTTATATTCCACCATAATGCACGCAGTCACATATGTTGATTATTTCTTAATCAACAACATGGAATCTATTTATTTTTCAGAAGTTTTGGTTTGTTCCCCGTACGCCATGACGCCAACCAGACATTTGAGGTCGCAGCAGCCGAAGAGATCGCGGAGACTGCCGAGTAAGTCACGAATACTGTTAACATGCTACATACATGCAGAATAATCTAATTATATCATAAAACGGTCTCTTACGCTTAAGGTATACATATAAAAATGTCACAAAAATACATATTTTATCTGGGCTTTTTACACTATACATATTAAATATACTATCGAGTTATACATACGAATTTATGTTATTCCATTATCTTAAACCTAACACCTTTATTTACAGACCGTGACCAACCGGACAACAGCATGCAGCTAAGGCAATAGCTGTATATATTATATACTAAACGGACGGGTCTAAAAATCCGGACAACAATAAAGTAGGACTAGGAATTTATTCATCAGAAAATATTATAGCAATATTCGTAAGACTAACTGATATACTACAGTACAAGAACCACCGTACTTAACTCTATTATAAATTCAGTTCAATCTCTTAAAAATCAAGGTATTCCCGTAAAATTCTAATACGTACCAGCCCATGTAGACATTCCCGGAAATGAAAAAGACATAAATTAGCCAAAAAGGCACTAAAACAAGAAACAATTCAGTGTGAAGTCAATTCATCTAATGAAGAGGCATACTCTCTAATAAACAAAGCTAATAGACAATAAATGGATAAAAACATTGAACGAGGAAGGGCAAAACAATGAATTACGTACTATAATAAAAGAACAAATAAAAAAACACACACTATATGGCCAATGTAAAAGTGAAGACGTTACAATAACAAGACTGAGACTAGGTACAACCAAACTAAACGGAAACATCAGTATTATGAAAAAAGATATATCTCCAACCTGTCCCAATTGTAAAGAAAATGAAACAATAGATCATGTTTTTTGGAACTGTCACAAACATAAAGAAGAAAGGAAAGAATTAAGAAATAAGAACTAAACGAAAATAAGATCAAAATCACGACAATTTATGAACTCCTAGCAATTAAAGAAGCAGAAAGATTAATACATAAAATTCTGATAAATTTTGAGCAAAATAGACTATTTGAGCAGGATCTAGAATTGTGGACCCGAGACCATTGGTCAAGGGGAAATAGCTCTGATGATTTATTTCCTTTTTTTCTATAAACACGAATTATATCTCAAAATAAAAACTTCAACGAATGAAGAAAAGTCATTTAATAAGATTTGACCATTTTTAGCTCACCTGGCACGAAATAAAATTAAATCATGTTAAATTAGTATATCTGCTATAGGANGGGGGGGCTGGTGGTATACCTGCTGCTTTATTTATGTTTGTTTGTTCGGTTTTATTCTAACAACACCTCTCCGGTCCATACAACTAGCATTTGATAAAGCCCATAAATCCATCTGCACATTTCTTTGACACCCAGCACTTCTTTCAACCTCCAACCCCTCCAGCTCCCATTCAGGTTATAACAATAATCACCCTAATCACTAGGGCAGCACCCTTGGGTCCGCCACTGAATTCTATGTACATTTG